CTTGTCCTCATGGATGACAGCCCTCACAGCTAGGCAGAAAACCTGGATTCCAGGTTCAATCATTCAGCACATTCAGTCGAGCTGCAATCCTAAACTTCAGCCCCAGATTGCCTGCACATTCTACCCTCAGTCCTGGCCATCCTGTGCACTCAAACCCTCATTCCAGTCCCTGACTGCCAGTGCACCCAGCAAAAGCCACAATCCTCCAATCAGCCTGAGCTTCAATTACAGTTTGCCAGCCAACCTGAACTCCTGCACCTGAGAACTGGAGTTCCAGCATGCTCATCCGTTAATTGGCCATGGGCCTGGTAGCTCCTCCCTTACTTCTATGCACGATTCAGCTTCAGAGAGGAGATGCCACCCTTGCACATGGCAACCTCTGCACACCTGTTTCTGTCAGTGGATCAGATGGTTCCACTGACGCCACACCAGTTTTGTTTCTGGGTTGGCTGTCTCCACACCTGTTCCTGACCCTGTTCCTGAGTTGATCTCCTCGACAGATGCAATGCCAGCTGTCCAGTCTGCTGCCCAATTTGCTGCTCAGCCTGCTCCAGAGTCGGCCTCCCTGGCTGACACCATGCCTGTTGTTCAGCCTGCTCCAGAGTTGATGTGAAAGTAAACTCAGTTATATGTTTATAATGTATCATTTATTCATATGTAAATTGTTTATTAATAATCTTTTGTATATATTCACCACAGGAACCAGCAGAATGGAAAGTGCCACTGCTTCTTCCTATTTCTGAACTGGTCACCAGTGCAACACTATTTAAAGAGACTGTACATCCTCACCCAGCTCTTACCAGTCATACTCCTGCTTCAGCTGGCTGTTAGTTTTTATTTATTTATTTATTGTACTTATCACTGCCATTAGTGTTGTGGTTATGGGAATTCTTACAGTACCTGCAATCTTCTACATTCTGGTTACACTGGTGTTCTGGTTAAAAGTATATTTAATCCTCTGTACTGCTCCTGTTAAGGGTTGTCTGCTTATCTGCAGTGCTGTGGCAAGTGTTCATGCACCTGTGTCATTGTATTTACTTCAGCATTACATTGCCATGCACACCAGAGTCAGTCATCTTGCCTGTGTTAGGTTACCAGTTATTATACTTAACATTGTTATTCTCTATACTTTTCTCTATAGTTTTCCTTTTACCTGCTTGTGTCTCAGTGGCCATCTTATCTGTACACCTATAGTTACTTTTATCAGTAAACCACTATTCATCTTTCACCACAACCTCCTTATCTGTGGTCTGCATCTGGGTCTCCCAAGTTTAGAATCATTACAGCAAGATGCACTTTACTGTATTAGGAGGGACAACATGAGAGAGATAATTAGCGGTTTGCAACAGCCAAGAATGCTAATTTCCATAGATTATGTACAGCTCAATTAACAACTGTGTTCCCTTGAGAATAGCTGTCCGAGAAAATCATTTCAGTACTATGCGGTGAAAGCCTTGTATATCCAAAATGTAAAGGAAGACTTTGAAGGAGGAAGGAAAGCATGTCCTCACAACATATAGCAAGGTATTCTCTAAATTCTCCCACTCTGGGGACAACCAAACCAGGTAGTTTTCCTATTGCAATTATTACAACACTTTCCTTTCTTTCTTACAAGTAAACGACTAGTAAAAGCCATATACTGTAAAATAGGGGGAGCAGGTGTGCTTATCATATGTATCAGATAACATTAACAGAGTCAACTGACAGAGTGAAGTGAACGTCAACATAATAAACATCCTTCTTTCTAGCTTGTCTGCCACATGCATTTTATTCTGCTGGTTTAAAATGTGTTTTTAGAAGGTAGAGATTTTTGATCCAGTAGAAGAATATGTGATAAAATGTCTGTTAAAACACATACTGTATATTTGTAAAATGTGCAGTTCATAATATCTCTCCTTACATTTGCTTCTTTTTGGTGCATTGAGAAGTCACTACGGTTACAGCAAATACAGCAAATACTATAAAGAATATTCTAATAGAAAATGGTTGAAGTAACACAGGTTTTTCATACTTTAAGGTGCTCTGTGTTCTGCCTCCTCCTATTTTGTAAATAAGAACAAGACAATCCCTTGAGACCCTTGTGTGCACAGTGTTCCAAGGTATGAATGAAAAATGCCACATACAAAACCATGGTTTCTGTTGCCATGTGTGTATTGGCATAAAGATGATAGTGAAAAGAACAAAACCAACACCTCCCCCAACATTATTTAGCTTGGCATCTTATGAATCTACTACACATTCTTTTACACCATGCTGAAGAAAAATAACCTTACATAATAATGTGCTGAAAGGCTATCTCACAGCAGCAGATGTCCAGCTTCAGTGAGGGAGTGTGTCCCTGGACAAGACATCTACAAGCTGGGTTCACTGACATCAGTGCTCTTGGAATAACTATAGAATCAGAGCTATGTACAGTTGCTGCTGCTTGGCTGGCCTCACTGTGGCCTGTGCTGCAAGTAGATCCAGGCACCCTTTCAACTGCAAAGTTAAGACAATTCTTCCCAGGGCATCCAGGCCAGGGCAAATAAATGTAGAGAAATGTAAAAAAAAAAAGACCAGCTAGGGTAGATGATTGATTTTGACAGTGTACTGTATGTGATCTCTACTAGTGATCTCTACTTTATGTACATATGTTAACAGGGGAATAATCTGTGACACCATCAGAGGTGGTGATAACCATGCAGTACAGTGCCATACTTCTGTACTTTTCTGAGTTATTCATTTTGTTCTATTGTATATTTCAACTCTACTACACTTTAGAGTGAAATATTTTGCTCTTTACTTTGCTACACTTATTGGAGAGATAAGGTTTTACATACAAGACAGTGTAATCCTAAAAATGTGATACTGGTAAAGTAAAACTGACAGTGTATCAGCTGAAACATTAAAATGCTGATTACATGTTAATGCACCCATAATATTAAATAACTTAAGCAGATTTGCAGCTGCTAATTTTGTTTCTTAGCATCAATCTTTGCATATATTTCATGCTTATTTAAAACCCTTGATTTTACTTACAGTGGCACAATGATGAGGTGGTCAGCGCTGTTGCTTCACAGCAAGAAGGTTCTGGGTTCAAGTCTGGGCCAACCCATTGCCTTTTCTGTGCAGAGCTTGCATGTTCTCCCTGTGCCTGTATGGATTCTCTCCAGCTTCCTCCCACAGTCCAAAGACATGCAGTTTAGGTTGACTGGCGACTCTAAATTGCCCGTAGGAATGTGTGTGATTGTCTGTCTCTAAGTGCCAACCCTGTGATAGATTGGTGACCAGTCCAGGGTGTACCCAGTGTCGGCTGGGATAGGCTCCAGTGTCACTTGCCACCCAACTCATGGTGTGAGTTATTAATCAAATATCACTGAATTAAAATGTAATAATTTAGTCAATAAAAAATATGTCACCAGACAGTAGAGACGATGAGGATGTGGTGGAACTATTAGGAAAATGCACTGTAGCTTGCTGTAGTCCCCACTACATGATGCCTCTTACTGTTTAATAACACAGAGTTACACATACAGTATTTCCTGATCACCGGCAAGGGCCACACATATTATAAAATACCATAAGTTAAAAAGTAATGTATCAGCATGGATAAACAGTCATATGTATAAACACTGCAGGATAAAGTTGATAAAAAGTTGTTGTCTGGTGGTCATCTGCTGCTCTAAATCAAAATAGGAGAAAGAGTTGCATCAACTGTATTCTGTGATGTATATAACTGACTTTTTTATGTCAAACAATTAAGACATTTTGAAAAAAAATAGTTTTTCAAAAAAAAAGTATTTCAATTGCTAAATTCCACTACAAAGTTAACCAAAACAGCAGGGGTGGATCTAGAAAATTTTGGATGGGGTGGCCAATTTGGGGCACCAACTCAGAGACAGGGTAGTACATTTGAAATATATGTTAAAATTAAATTAAACCCTTAGTTTTATGGAAAAATAAACCATACATTATTAAAAATATATTTGTTTACTTTTTTGTAAAAGATGCACGTTTTCTTTAGATAACTTTAGATGCACTCCTTATTTTCTCCTGGAGAAACAAGTGCAAGCATCATGCTGCATGCATGGTGTAAAATAAAATTCATTTGATGAATAAAGCACCAGGAAAATGTTAGTTACATTTAAGGCAAAAAATTGTCATTGTTTTTCAATTTTCATTGTTCATACTGACAAACATCACATTTTGACTCTGGCAGGGGCGTCACCAGAGGTGGCCAATCAGATTCTAGCCACCCCTGGCCAACACCTGCAAAACACCAATGCAAAACAAGAGTGAGCGGGCTCTTCAGGGGGTAGCAGATGGACATCAGTGTAGGAAAAAAAATACAATGCAAAAGATTAAAGAAGTACAGGAGAACAGTACAACTGCCCACTGCATAATATCAAACACTGCACTATCATGTTAAGGAATACAGTAGTAAATGTAAAAAGAGTAAAGTTAAAAGCCATGATAAAGAAAATAAAAGTAGGGTTTGACCTTATGGGCCCCTTCAGAGGATCCTTGGTGAATTGTTGAGTGTGGGGCTTAGCTACACACACAAGTCGTGCAGAGCCTGAGGTGGTAATGCTGATGTGATGAGTTCAGTCAGCGTCAGAAGAAAACCTTTGTGTCACAAAATGCCTCAAACAGGCACATCTAGCAATTTCCTAAGTAAAATCAGACGGGTACAGATACCATGTACAGAAAGATAAGTAAGCTAAAATAACCTGAGGTGAGTTCTGTATCCAGTTCATTCATAAAGAAAAGAAAAATCAAAATGTAGTAGTTTCATAAAAAAAAAACTATCAAATATTTGCAGGCAATTCAAAATGAAAAATGCTGATGGAGTCACTGAACTGGCAGCCACACTGACTGGGTGAAAAGAGCTGATTTGCTCAGACTGAGGATGATGATGTGCGTTTGTGTATGTGTGTGAGTGAGAGAGGGAGGAGGGGAGAGGCAGAGAGAGGAGCAGGTGGAAAGAGGGAGGGGTTAGGGTGGTCCAGACAGTCAGTCCTTGTGTACCTCGCACTCTCTCAGCCTCTGCGCATCATTTAAGCGAAACAGCTCTCACTGGTCAGTCTCACTGCCCGGCTGCTTAATAATAACACAACAGCTCCACGTTACTCCGCCACTTTTTCCCCGTTTTTGATTCTGTGCCTGAAACCAACCGTTCAACTTAAACCAACTCGCACCATCGTATGGAAAATCCAGGTTTATTCTGCTCTACGCGAGAAGAAGCGCATGGATGATAGCGTTCGAGGACTAAACCGGCGTGATTCATGGCCGCATAGCGCATCATGAGAATACTACAACTACCAACAAGGTATAACAAAAACAAGTGTGTATCTACTTCATAATATTACTGTGCCGTGGTAAATCTGAGGTTGTGTACATGCGTTTTTTGAATAGATTTTTTTAACATTTGCGGGTGGGATGCATTCATTTGTGTTCTGCTGTCTTATCACAGCTTTAGTGAGGATGTCTGCATCGCGGAAAATCTTTGTCAGGAAGCCTAAACGCTGCAATAGAGCTTTTTTTATTCAGAATATCTGAGCAGGAGCATTGCTGCTCCTTATAAGCACAAGTCGTGTTTATTGCTATCTGTGGCCCTAGAAATCAGTGTTTTTGTATTGTCACAGTATAAAGCAAACCATCAAAACACTCAGCTCCTTGACATAAACAGAAGGCTGTAGTCTCTATAAGGGCGGTAGTGGAGGTGGTGGTGGGGGGTGGTTTTTTTTTAAATCTGCTTTTATGACACAATTCTGGGATTTTATGGAGTCAAAAAAATAGTCTGATGCGTCATTTCTATTTTGGATCTTACAATTCTTATGCGTGGCTTGTGAAGATCATCAGAGCTCCCTGTATAAATTATACCACAGTATTATTTTTAAAAAGCAACTCTTGAATGAGACAGAGTTGTTATATGATCATCCAGGTCTTCACGTGGAACATCATTTCCCCTTGACATGACATTGGCATTGAAGCTCAAAACTACTGTTTACCTTTATGCACTTTCTAAGATTTTTTTTCTCAAACAAGTGCAATACAGCCCATTTATCAGCAGGCCAAAAAAAAGTCGTCGGATTAGATGCAGACAAGCTGGGAGTAGACAGGGCAAGGGTGAATGTATGGGGTGTTCTGCAGTGTAGTATTTGGGTGAACTACTCTGTGTCCATAGTCACTGATGATTTTAAAGTTTTGGTGCATTTTGAACTTGTACAGATGCTATACCCAGAAGTATTTTTATATCACAGGTATAAATAAAAAGGTGTTGCCATAGTTTAGATTCTGTATACAGCCTGTTTTGTGCTTCCACTTCACAGTGGTCAGGGTTTCCAGACTGCTCTTGGCAGTCAATGTCAGTTAATTGGATAGCAACCAAAAGTTAAGAGCTCAGAACTCTCCTCTTTATTTGTTTTAATTTTTAAAACTTGAGTTGTTGCAGTGGAAGGAGAAACAGGAGACAAATGATCAACTCGCAGGATTTTGTGTCATGGCTACAGCAATCCTATTACGAAGTGCTGCTTGTGTTTTGTTTTTTTTAGACTCAATATACAATTAATCTTCAAACTTGCCTTCAACATATTGTAAGTACCAAAGTAAATAAAAATATAGGCATTTGGACCTAGAATCACAAGTTTAAAAAAGTCCTCATAATGCATATATTCAATCCAGTGATAACTCACCCTCAATTCTAAAATCAGTTGCAATACATGCTTTCCCACCATCAATTGATATATTCAAATGAGATTTTTATTATGAAGTTCTTCTTTCTCCCTGTACTGTGTCATTATAGTATTAAATATGTAATTACAATTGCCATTTTAAAACAATAAGAAATCTACAGTACCCTGTAGTATTTTGTTTGGGTACAATAAATCAAATAACAAATAAAACAATTTCTAATAATAAAAAGATGAAACGTTCTTTGTTCACAGGGAGGACCTGGCATGGACCGCTGTGTCTAAATGAAGTGGTTCAGCCATGCAGTGTTCCTGGAAGGCAGTGATTCTGCTGGCCTTGGCCTCCATTGCCATCCAGTACACAGCCATCCGAACACTCACTTCCAAGCCCTTTCAGTTGTGCCCGTTGCCCAGCCCCCAGAACTGTGGTCTTGGGGGCCAAGAAACAGAATCTCCCTTTGAGCGGGGAGCAGCAGGCAGTGGTGGCTGTGATGACTACCCTTACTTTTCCATCAATACCACACGTAAAACACACATCCTTGTCCTAGCCACCACCCGTAGTGGTTCTTCCTTTGTTGGCCAGCTGCTCAACCAGAACCAGGATGTATTCTACCTGTTTGAGCCTCTTTATCATGTACAGACCACACTGATTCCACGTCTATCACATAGCCGCAATGCTGCAGATCGGCGTGTGATGCTGGGTGCCAGTCGAGACCTCCTACGTAGCTTGTACGATTGTGATCTTTATTTTCTGGAGAGCTATATCAAACCGACCCCCACGAACCACACCACAGATAAACTGTTTCGTCGTGGTGCCAGCCGAGCATTGTGCCAGCAACCTGTATGTGATGCCTTTGGTTCAGCTGATATTAATGTGGAAGAGGGGGACTGTGTTAAGAAATGCGCAGCTCTAAACATGACCTTAGCAACAGAGGCATGCCGTGAGAAGCGGCACATGGCAATCAAAATTGTTCGGGTGCCTGAGATTGGAGATCTACGTGCTTTGGTGGAAGACCCCCGACTGAATATTAAAGTGATTCAACTCGTCAGAGACCCACGTGGTATTTTGTCATCACGGATTGAGACATTCAGGGATACATATCGGCTGTGGCGTATTTGGAGGGCCACAGGGAGAAGGCCATATAATCTAGACTTGAGTCAGCTTACGGTTGTCTGTGAAGACTTTCTCAGTTCAGTTTCAACTGGTCTCAGCCATCCCCCCTGGCTGAAAGGGAAATACATGTTGGTTCGATATGAGGATCTAGCTAGAAACCCACTTCAAAAGACAAAAGAGATCTATGACTATCTGGGGCTGCCTATGGATAAAAATGTGGAAGACTGGATACATGCAAACACTCGGGGCAGCAATGAGCCCTCAGCAAAACACAAGTTTGGTACAGTGAGGGATTCAGCCGCTAATGCAGAGAGTTGGCGTTTGAAACTGTCTTATGACATGGTAGAATACACACAGACCATGTGTCAAAAAGTACTTCACCAGCTGGGATACAAGGCTGCAAAATCAGCAGAAGAACTGAAAAATATGTCTCTCTCACTGGTACAAGACAAAACTTTTGTACCTTTTTTGTAACAAAAGTGGTTCTCTAATGGCTATTTTTGATATATTTATAATTGTTGCCTTATAATTTTCTTAGTTTGTTGCTTTTGTTTCTGTCATCTTGTTTCTTCAAATTTGCACTAAACTTTAAAGATTTTGAATGCATCAAGAGAGCTGTGGATGATTCCCAAATGTTATAGAACAGCACACTTTAAACACAAAGTAATCAACCAAGCTAGCTTAAAAATTTCTCATTATTTAGTTTTTCCATCCATAGAACCAAGACAAGGCACGGTCTTTGTGAATTTTCTGTATGCAAGCTGTTGTTTCAACATAAGAAAAATGAAAAATATTGCCCTTCAAAAACATTGAATGGGGGTTGGGTTGGGTTTGGTAAGGCAGATGTGCTTTACACCTGTGATGACAAATTTGGACTGTACAAGACCTACTGTGCAATAAAATAGTGAAATGTCTCAGTCGGTACTATGGTATTTGTAGCAATGTGGCAAGAGAAGAGATGCTACTTGCAAAAGATAATTACAGGCAATTAATAGGCTCTCAAGTTAAAGGGACAGAATCCCGCTGGGGGTCATGAGTGTATCACCAGAGGATTTTCAACCATCTGTGATAGACAAATGCACACTAATGAGAGATAATGCTGAAATCTACATGTTTAGAGACTATATCACATTATGTACAATGCTAGACAATGAATAATTCTGACAAAGTATAGTTGACTATTTTAATTATTTATTTATTTTTAGAAGCAGTTTATTCTAAATCAGCTATAGTGTTAAATTTACAAAGTCTTTAAGTAAAAGTGTTTGTCATTGTCATCTGTTGATAACTCATCTGTTAAATGGCAGAAGGATCTCCCTGTTTTTAGGTCAACAGACAAACAGGGAAGCGTGTGACAATAGAACAAAAATAGTGCATGCATTCTCTCAAGTATAATAATGTGGCTCTTTTGACAGTTCATGGTGGATCTGTGTTTATCTTCCACATGAAAGATTCATAATTGAGGAAGATATGACTTTGTAGAACAGGTTACACCGCAGATTCACATTTTTCCCGACTATGCTGGAAGCTTATACTGTACAACTCATATAGATCCAATTTAAAGAGCAATACAGTAATGACTGTACAAATCTGGAACAAATCCTCTTATCATCATAGCAGCAGTTGACATGCTGTTTCAACAAAGCATTGTTAAATGGTATAGGTCACGACTGTAATGCAGTACACCACGGTCATGTAAAGTAGTGTTTCTTTTTTGTCCTGCTCCAAACACAGTGAGCAGTTGCAAAAGCATTGAACAAAATGTTATTGCTTTTTTTATTATTTTTGAACCAAAACAGGCTTTTTTTTTCTAACTCAAGCAAAAAATAAAATTGGAGCAACTGCTGTAAAATTACCTATGTTATAAAGATATTGATGCACTATTGGACCATTATTGGTAGAAAAAATAAAGTTCCCCCAACTGGGACACACAGTAGTATTCCCACAGTTGGTTTATATTTGATGGCATATTAACTGGCTTATGTAGTGGCTCATTTGGAAAATTGTCTTCTCAGTTAGTGTGCGGAATACAATGATCATTTCATGCTGTGCCTTGTATTTCCAGACCTCTCTCTATTCCTGTAGCACCTTAAATTGAATGTCATTTTGCATTATGTGGCACAGAAACTGTCAAGGATGTGTTCATACAGATCTGCACCTATAAAATGCAGAGTAAACACATTTCAGAGTGACATTAGTAGACGATGAATTCGTTATGATCATCAAGACTCATATGCCTCAGATGTTCATATGCCACCGAAACAACGCAGCACCACACTTACAGTAATTATTATTGTTGCTGTTTTGCTACAAAATTGTCAAAGGAATAAACATATAATTAAACGTTACTAAATTATTTAATGCAAAATAAAAGAGAATTCTGTAGTTTATCCTTCATTATGCTATGAAAGTGTAGAGGTTTTAATTTTCATCCACTAAAAGTGTAACAGTACTGTAACTGTGATACATGAGCAAGTACACCCTAAGTAAAGATCAAAGTAGTGTCAGTCTCATAGAGTGTAAACAGTTTTCATTTTTTTCTTTGCCTTTTTTATCTCCAAAACTGCAGTTGAATAACATGGTGCAAAGACATCCATGCAATGACCACTTGCTTACCCATGAGATATAAACCCTTTGAATGGAGCATCACACACTCGGACTCATCAGTATTGGTGACCGGATGTCCATTGGGATGCAGAGCACAAACCTTTGATCCTTCTCTGTGCTGGGGCTCTCGCTTTCTCTCTCTGCCTCTCCCTTTTTTTCTCCATCATCCACCTCTTTCTTTCTTTCAGAGATCTCGGGGGATTGTCCCTTTGCTTCAGCGCTTACTCTGTTTTTCACTTTACCTCTGAATCTTCTGGATGTACTTGGCATACTTTGAAAAATGCTGTAAAGCTGTGTGTGAGTTCTTTTAACAGATAAGGACTAGTTTGACATTTTGAGAAATATGCTTATTTGCTTTCTGTTGGAGAGTTGATACCACTGTCGAGTCTGCATGTTAAAAAATAATCCACTGGTTGGCTTAACTCAGCACAAAGACTGGGAAGAAAACAGCCAGACTGAGTCTTTCTAATGGTAATAAAATCTTTATAAAGCTTTCTGATGTACATTTTACCTGTAAGGCATTGATTCTGTAGCAAAACTTCAGTATAGAGAATGTGAAGTTGTCATCATGCTGGGTTGAATTTTGGGTAAATTATCCATGTTTGAAGGATCATGCTCATTATCTATCATAATATATACACTACATAAGCTTATACGTTGATTTAAAGAACGAAATACTATAGCATAGATCTACACACAGTAGTGGATGCTTCAACTATTTTGGGTAAATTATCCATGTTTGAAGGATCATGCTCATTATCATCATAATATATCATTATCTATCATAATATATACACTACATAAGCTTATACGTTGATTTAAAGAACGAAATACTATAGCATAGATCTACACACAGTAGTGGATGCTTCAACTAGGTCCAAACATCCACTTTAGTGTCCAGTTTGAACACAGACCAGACAGAAATTGATTCATCTGCAGTGTTTGTGTTATCTGCCGACAGCTACTAGATAGCTGAGTTCAGAGGGCAGAGTCATTTTTCAGTCTGTCGCTGATCGGCAGGATCTCTAGGTCTGCTTCGAGTTAGCTACAGTCAGCTAAGGTTATCCGTTGTGAACTACCACTGGCAGTAAAGTGAGATCTAAATGATTTAAGCAACTTTTTATCCAAACAAAACAAAATGTATGCAAGTAAATACAGCACATACCTTTAAAAATGGCGACCCAGTCCCAACATTGGCCACAGCCAGACATACCTTCATATTCTCTATAAAAAAACTAGTTCACTATGAGGTTATCTGCCAGGCTATTGGCTAGCTTCCCCCATGCTTCCAGTCTATGTGCTGTGTAAGTTAATAGGCTTTATATTTTATGTACAAACATGAGTCATATTGGTCATATTGTATAACACTGTGCCACAAAGCAAATAAGTGTATTTCTTTGTCTTTTTAACAAAAAATCAAAAGGGCTAAGGACAAGGTGTTGTGCAACAGTCAGTCTTTAGCTTGTCCATAGCAGTGGATCTCTTTATATGGACTTTAATTGATTCAAAAATGCATCAGCCAAACCTTATTTAAATTTAATATTGCTGGACATTTTGTCAATATTCATGCAGTTGAATAATATTCTAGCTGAACATACACCCTTTGAACTGAAGCTTTCAATTAAACTCAACTTGTCTCTATGTTTCTAATGCTGAACTCTGACAGTTTGACAGTCATGGAGTACTTCCTCCAAAAACCTGATCCCGGCTGACAGTTAACAGCCTGCTTCCCATGTGTTGGTCTGTCTCTGGGCTCTTGCTGAGCCCCTCGTGTTGTTTATTGTGTCCCAGGGCTGAGCATATGGTTTATAAGCCCCAGGAAGAAAGTACAGCAAATCCCTCACTCCCCATTTCTCCCTCTCACTTATTATTCATATCCCCTCATAATGTGACCTTAATAATCTGACCCTTGTGACTGTATGATGGAGCAGAAAGACTTTTGTGTCTACTGTTTACTGAAATGAGCTGACAGAACATGTCCCGGTAGCTAAAACTACTCATTAAAGAGCAAAGGCTGCTGAAAGAGAATATTCTTAAAGAGTGTGCAGCAGTAAAGTGATCATTCTAACAAAAGACTGAGATGAAAATCTGCTGCAACTACTTCAGATGTTCCGCTTCTATCTGATTGAGTGTATGTGAATGTGTGAGTGTGTAACCGTCTCCTTTCTGCTGTAGGATATAGCCTCATTATGATGTGAATAGCTCACTGAATTGAACAAATCGTGTGAATTATGGCTGTTGAACAAGCGTTGTGTTTGCTGTGGTGAACAGGGAATATGTTATACAACCGTGTCCTGACGGGCATGTGTCGTCTTTGGCCCTTCAACATGTCACCTCTGTGTATGAACTGTGATGGCATTCAACTCTGCATCTGAGCAGCCTGGATGATTCAGTCAGTTGTTGCTCAGGTGACCGCTGATGTTATTTCAAGCACAAAGGTGTGAATGAGACTTGAGTAGTGCAATCAAAACTATTCTTGTGAAAATCATGAAATCGTTTTGTTCAACTTTTATGCACAGGCTGTCCAAGTTGATATTTGATTGCTAGTAAAATGGCATTGGGGGGTGGGTGAACTGGGCTTTGCCAGAAGCGTTATGAGCAGCTTAATTGAAGCTGTCAGCAGGTCAGTGTAAGAAAGGCAACCAGGTCATTATATAGTTAGGGAGCCATGAGAGGTTTAATGGACAGAGCATCTTTGAGATGATTTAATTTTTTTTAATTAAATATCCTATATAATATGCAAACTGGAATAATTATCCCTCTGGGCAATAAAACTTTGTGGCAGGTTTGAATACAAATCCCAACCTTAAGTTATATTTGTACTACTCATTCCAACACACACACACACACAGTTGCCATCTGTCAAAATTGTCAAAACAGTTCTAAGGATGAAATTAATATGAAACTTACAAGCTCATTATATGATCACTGAATAAATTACGTTTCATATAAGCAATTTTTCATATATTACGGTTTAACATATTGAAACATAAAATCTTACAACATGTATAAATGTGTTTTTAAGTGAGAAGAGGAAAACTGTAAATGACAGTGTCTCTCTTCAATGCTAGGAGCGACAGCTGCAACTGGCATGCATAGGTACACTCTCTCTCTTTCTCTCTCTCTGGCTCTCTCGCCCTCACACACTCATGCATACACACATTCACACTGAGGAGCCATTGATGAGTAATTCTGTGGAAATAGGAGTATAGGTAAGTGAGAGGGCGTGCGTGTGTGTGTGTGTGTGTGGGTGTGTGTGTGTGTGTGTGAGTACTTATATGTGCATGCAGCATTGGCCGGACTGGTCAGTGCAGCTTACGTCACTGTGGTCAGCTGTGGCTCTCTCGCTTTGCATGCTCAAATTCTGCCTTTAGCTGGCCTGAAAAGCCGCATTGAGACTGGCACACAGGCACAGACGCAAACAAGTATGAGCAGTCATGAGCTAAAAATGAAGCTCTCAGAGCTGTAGGAATAGAGGAAACACTGAAATATCTCAATTTTAACACTGTATGACATTTTGTGATTCACAGACACCACACTTAAATATGTGATGTGGATACATTGTGAAATATTACCAGCACAACATAACAGATACTAAAACTGGGTGGCCTGCTGTGCATATATGCCTGACCAAGAGGGTAAATCCTGATCAAGCTCTCACCTGCCAACCACACTTTTGCTCTCTCAGACATTGAGGCTACAAATCAGAGCTCTAAGGGTGCAGTGATGTGAGTGGTAAATGTAGACAGTGATGTATATCTGAAAAATAATTAAGTACAACATAATAAAGATTTTCCATATCATCTATTTTTGAGCTTTTTTTTTATGTTTTCGAGTCATCTGTCCATCTGTCTGGACCATTCTTGTGAACACGATAAATCACAAACGGCTTCAGGGAATCTCCTCAAATTTGGCACAAGCGTCCACTTGGAATAAAGGATGAACTGATGAGACTTTGGTGGTCAAAGGTCATGGTCAGTGACCTCAAATCTGTCCTATTCCCATGAATTTGACTGGTCAGCAGAGGCATACAATACTGAAGTGGTAATTCTAGTTTTGTCTCATCTTTATATGGGAAAAGACCAAGAGGCTATTTATCATAGAGCCTAGCTGGGATCATCTTTATTGTGGGTATTTGTCTGCAAGCTCATACAGCTTGGCATGTATATTTTATTTTGTCTTTGCATGGCAGCTTTTACCAGGCATCATTTTCTTTCAAAAAAAGGGGATGTCCAGTGGCATGTCTATAATTTTGACTAGTAATATCAGTTGTTTTCTGCTGTGTCAGAACAAGAAAATGCTGGCATAAAGTGTCCACTTCATGTGTTTGATGTACTCTAAGTCTTTTTATATAGTCAAACTTATAGATTTAGTTAAAATTAAGGTAAAATTTAACAAGATATATGTAATGGCTTTAGGCCTATTTCTCTCTTTAGTTTTTTGGGATGTTTGACTTCTTAAATGTAAAGGAAAAGGTGTCTGTTAAAGGATACTGGAACAGTTAGAGGCTGTAGCATCTGTTCTCCTAATTTGTGTTAAAATATGTTTTGTCACCACATTTTAACATAAAATGACATGAAACAAGGTATTTGTCTAGTTATGCATAAGAATTTGTTTCTTTTCAATTTTCTGTTTTTTCTTTTCTTTTTCAATTATCAATGCTGGTTCCCACCCACTTAGACACCTAAACCTGTGGATGAGAGCTTTATTTATAGCATCTTTCTCAACACTGTTGCCACCCAAGATGTTTTCCAAATGGAATGATGTAAAAGATTAATATTTCTGAATTCATAACACCATTTTATAGAGAATGGTGTTATATTTCCTTCCCACAACCTGAGTTTGCATACTCCACACGGCTCTTAAATACACTTTCCTATCCATTAATTTTAGTACCTCTCATTTATTCCCTCTTATGATGAAATCTACAGCATATTTGAATCTTCCATCCATCCATCCATCCATTTTCTTCCACTTATCCGGGACCGGGTCGCGGAGGCAGCAGTCTAAGCAAAGATGCCCAGACTTCCCTCTCTCCAGACACTTCCTCCAGCTCCTCCGGGGGAAGGCCGAGGCGTTCCCAGGCCAGCCGAGAGACATAGTCCCCCCAGCGTGTCCTGGGCCTTCCCCAGGGAATCCTCCC